TGCCTCTAAAGTTTAGTTTTGGCCTTCCTGTTTACTTGTTTAGGCTGTTTATTCTAATCCCACCTAGCCTATTGTTTCTAATCATGCTTGCATGAAATTCTCACTTTATACTATCTGGCTTTTTCAACCCTCACTCACTCGCCACTGAGGATTTAGAATGAAACAAGGCTAAATAAGTCATAATAATTATTAATAATTATTAGTAGTAATAGTAAATTATAATAATTATTAATAATTAGTAGCAAGTAATAATTATCATTAATTAATTATCATCAGTAATAGTAATAATTATTAATAATTTATAATTATTAGCAATAATAATTACTACATGGCTCAAAATGAGCAAAAAACTGTGAATCAGCTTTAAAATGAGTATAACATGTTTGTATATAATAAATGTGTTGGATTTTTAATGGTCTTTACTTGTGTATTCTTGTTTCTTTGATCATTAATTTGCAGATCTTTATGTGTGTTCTTACTTTGAAGAACTGCTAAATTTTTTTCTGGGGCCTTCGGGCTCTGGGCTGCAATGAACCTTTCCGGATTGTCGGTCAAACTTAACAACTGACCATTCAGAACAGGGCCAGGGATGCGGGCGAGTCTAACAAGCAAACGTGTTGTCCTAAAAAACGCATGTTTTTGTATTTTAATGCAGTTGTTTTGTTGGACCTTCGCAACAACCTCCAAGGGGTGGGAAGGTGGCCCTTTGGCTGTTAAGATATGTAGAATAACCCATAACTCGCTGAATTGCATAGAGAGCCACTTAGTAGCTACGTGTTGACATCGTTCCACGACAGAGGACGATATGAATCATAGCATCAGGGTATCCCCTACTCTTCCGAAGAAGCGATGGTTCTTCAAATTGCACACAAGCCAGATGTGTAGTAGACCTCCGGTCTGTATCCAAGAAGACTTGGTTCCACCAACCAAACCCTGAGCGAGCAGCAGCCCCGATGTTAATGCTGTAGTTAGCGGTGTGCCAGCCTTACCACCCTTGCCTTGTACTTGACATTGCTCATTTGACTCAGGTCTAATTTGTCTTCCAGAATTTCAGAACTGCTGCTTTCTTGGTCACAGCAACTAGTTATGACAAACCCCCCCCCCCCTCCAGTTATTGGTTTGCTCCCAATTGTTATGGAGAACATTAGCACATTTTCATGCTGATCATTAGAAGGGCTGTCCTTGTTTTCCCATCCATAGCCTGGGTTACATCTACTATTCGTATACTAATTAAAAGAGACGTAAACATCATTTATACACAAATAAACTTTAATTACACTTCATATATTATAATAATACTGTATTACTGTATATAATAATTGTAATATCTATTTAATCCCCAAAAAAACTTGTTTCACTATGTAGGGCTGTGAAAAGATATTAATATACAGTAACCACAAACCATATTATCAATTGTTATTCATAATTTTTTTTTTTTAAACTATCGAATTCCTTGCCCAACAATATTAAAAGTTGTTTTGTATGTCAAGAATTTATTTTAAGTCTTTAAGAAGCAGTTAAAGGATCTTTTCCATTGTAAATCACACTGTAGCTTTTCAAAATACTTCAGTCATTCCTTCTTATCTTGTTTTGGTTCACTTAATTCAATTTTATTGTACGTTTCAGGGAGTCAGACGTGCTTCCAACAGTGGGTTTCCTGCTTTTGCGTCTCCCATGCAATCATGCCATTGAATAATATATAAACTACAGTAGTACTGTATTGCAATAGGAAGTCTAACGTGTTTCAATATTCCAAGACTGCCTAAATTCTATCTCCCATTGCCTTACTTTAGATTTTGATCGTTTAATTTGCTTGTGAACAGATTCAACTTTTTTACTATCTTTCTTCTGGCTTGGCCTTTTCACAGCTGAAGTGTCATATGGTTTAAAGTGTGTTATTCTTGGCCTACTCTCCTCTGATTTAGATCCAGATCCTAAACAATGTCTATCTCTTTTCAAGATTGTCTTAACTGGAAATTTAATTCCACTTCCCTGAGGGCCAAGTCCTTTTTCAGTGTCCCACCCATCCTTAAGCATCATCTGATAGCCTTTGTTGTTATCACTCAAGTAGTACAATGTTGATGGTTTTGTGTGTTGCATACAGAACTGATGAACTGTAGAATTTCTGTGTTCATTGAAAGTGGAAGCCTTGATATCCGTGTTACAAGAACCACAATGAAATGCTTCCGGAGGTTTCCTACCATTATCATTACTTTCAATTGTATTGCAGTAATCCCGATTATTATCAAACAAGTTCACAATGTGTCTATGTCCAGATCGCTGTGCTAAAACCTTTGCATCAGCACCAGATTTGTCCTTAATACCAATCCACTCTGCTCCGTGGTTCAGTAAGTACACAACCATCTCAAAGTGTCCACTACAACAGGCACACATCAATGCCGTCCAGCCAAAATCATCTCGGACATTAATTTCGGACGTTTGTTCTACAAATTCCTTGGCAGCTTTCAAGTCTCCTTCCGCTGCTGCCTTGAAGAATGAATTTGCTGTCCTGAATCGGGTTGTGGTCCTATTTGACCTGATTTTATCTCTTGTCCGACTTTTCATTATTTTTCTTTGTTTAACATCACTACATGATCTTGGAGACTTGGGCATGCCTGAATTGGTTTCCATAGCAATTACACTTTCGTAAAAGTCTTTAATTTGGTTTCCATCACTTGCTGTTGATTTAGATGTACAGGTATGTGTTTGCTTATCATTGTAATTAGACACGGAAGTTCCCCTTGCCTTCTGGAATAATATTCGTTGGTAGATGGCCATTCTTTTATCAATCGCAGGTCAACGGTGCCTGTCCAAGCTTGGGGATGCTGTTAAGTGGTTTATTCCAACTCTCAGGCTCTGCCAAGTCAACAAAAAAATGAAAATACATTTTTAAGAAACATTCAATAGAAGTCGCTTATCTTTCTAAACATAATAAAGGCAAAGGAATATTATGTCACTGAAGGGCAACCAGACAATATACCATTGAATTAGACATTTTTATTCAGGAAATGATATCCAACATGCTACATACAGCAAAGTGTAAGAAGTTTGATTGGGAGTTTGAAAATTAGTTTAAGGTTAAGCGTGTGTTCCAACAATCAATAAACTGGACTTGAGTAATCATCAGAACAATAACAACAGCCTTAATATTTATAGCAGTGAATATGAAAGAAGACCCAATTTCATTTTTAAAATCATCTATTAATAAAAAGTATAATTTAGGCCTAGCCTTGGGCCTAGGCCTATATGAAAATTAATTACAGTATTTTAATTCCTGTACAGATTATGACGATAAACTTGAAGAACTCGTTGTGTTAACAACAGCATTAACTTCATGCAAAAATGTTTCGGTATGGGGGCCATACACTAGGCCCTAACTAGGCTAAATAAAGAAATTAGGCCTAGGCCTAAGCATAACATAACACATACCACTACCGGTAGTAATAGGTGACCCAGAGAGGAAATATGCCTAGGCCTTAGCAAGTAGTTTAGCCTAAGCGCAAGGTAGGCTTGGCCTAGCTAGAGAGGCCAGTAGCCGGACTAAAACAATGTGTATTTCGAGACCTGTGTTACCTCTTAAACCCAGAATTACTCAACGATGTGCAGGTTATGGTCGTTGAAAAGTTAGATGATCAAAATAATGTAATATGACAATGTCTTTCCTGCATTACAAAATGTCAAAGATATCTCCCCCACGTTCTCTTGTCGTCGTAATTATACAATTATCAAAAGTAAAATTTACAGCACGCCCTCTATATTAGACTTACTTCAGCGCAATTGGTTTGAGCAATTTTTAAATTTTTTTTTTCTTGGTTTGAGCGTCTGAAAACAGTTTTGTAATTTTCTCGCCTTCCTGTTTTTTTTTTTTAGTTTTTTTTTAAATTTTTTATCCAGCTAATTTCTTGAAAATAGCATTATGTATTTTGCTATTAATACTTTTAACCATTTACATCACTTCCCCAGTACAATATCTCTTTCATCAGATGGATTACCCATTTTGGCGCGAACAAGTTCGGGCGCGCCGCAGTGTTAAACAACTACAAAATCTAGAAATAAACATGTTTCAGCATTAATTAATAGGCCTGTACTGTATTATGAATTCTTGGAATTTGGAATGTATTACACAGTTTTACTAGTAGTATACATCTAAGTAAACACACATACACTCACACGTTATTATAATGCAATTGTAATCGGTGTAGACTTAGCACATACAAGCCTATACAGTATGAGGTCTATACGCGTTTTTAATAGTTCTTCAGTGAATCGTATTGGCTGAAAACGGCTCGATCCAATTTTATTACAATAGTTGTTATTTTATCGCTGATTTATTTGTTCTAATATCTGTTTTACCCCATCTTACATCAACTCGATAATATTGCATAGGCTATACATATTGTCACTTATGTACTAATTTCACTGAAAGTGGTTTTACCCGCATAAAGAGAAGCGATTTAAAGCTACATCGGGCTACCTTAAGGCAGCACTAGCGGTGTCGGAGAGGGGCTTAATCCCACCCTGTGACGCAGCGCCATTTGGATGTACGATTCTCGCAATATTTTCTCGTAGGCTAGGAGAAAAATGTATTTACCAAACAACTTCGAGAGATGTAGGACTAATAGCAAACACGTTGTCGTCGTTTGGAGAATGTAGTCCTTTTTTTTTGTATAGAATAATCGTCAGGAAAGGTGTTTCCCTGCAATGTGTCACTTCTCTCTTTGGGGAAATACATGTGGGCCTCTTATGCAATTTTTAAATTTTTGTTTGTAAGTTGTTCTCGTTGTGGTTTGTTTCCTGATAGCGAGAGATGTAGCAAACTCGTTGGTCAGGAAATTCTTGTTTCACTTTTTCATTGGGAAAATTAGGTCTATGATGAGGGTAAAAGATTTTTCCCCGATGAATTATTTGATGTTACAAAGGCGCCAGATGAAGAGACTCCTGTTTATTCTTGTCAGGGAATGCCGTTTGAACGGCTTTATTTACATTTTATGATATTTACAAATTTTAAAGAAATACTTGGATTGTTTAAGGTGCGATTGTTACAAAGAGTTTGAAATTCATCTTTACCTATCCTCTTTGTAGATAACTATTATTGTGAAGGGAATCTAAAATTATTTTTTTCGTTTGACAATTAATTTTAATAAATAAACAAAAACATATATATTTCAGGATGAGTATATTGTACTTTTATTTGATGAGTTTATTATATAATTATTATTTAGTATGTGGATGCAGTGCTACTTTTGTTGAAGATAGCATTCATGGATTTATGGAATTTTATTTTAATTGTCCGTGGTATTTATCAAATGTGTAAGAGCGCCACCAGCAGTTAGGGTTTGGCCCAAAGCGGATTGAGTGGGACGAACGAATTTAAATACAACACAAAAAGTTAAACATTCGCTTTAGGATTCGGAGTGGTGCAAAAGAGTGGTGCAGATGTCATTCCGCTACGATCGACATAGTTGGATTTGTGAGTGTATAACGTATAGATGAACATATTTTCACAAGTCTTGATTGTTCTCAGATTGTTCTACGTAGGCTAAATGGATTGTCAGCGCTTTTTAACGTAGAAACAGTGAGTTGTTGTTTACGTATTTGTTCGTAATTCTTCTGTCAGTGTTAGCCGCGGTTTGAGAATCATCCTCCGGCAGCCTATGTGCCTTCCTCTCTAGCGTGACTACAGTAGCTCATCAAACGTACGAACGAGGCTTGTGTTACAGTTATGGAACCATCAAATAAATGTTGGCGTTTCCGAAGGAAATGTGTTGTTGGGCAATGGAGATACGTTGCTATACTATCTTCAGTATTTATTCTCGTCTACATGGTATATACAATTCAGCCAAGTGCTGTTGTTCAATATTCGCCTAGTTCGTCTGTATTAGCCAGCAATCAACATGGAACCGTTATTAAGTCTGTGCCTTTTTCCTACAAATTTTCACCCACCAACAATCTAAATTTTACTCCAACTTTACTGGAACGATTATCGTCTGGTAAGGGTGTCCAGCCTACGCAAGGCAATGCATCAAAATCAGAGGATGGTGCTGATTACTATAATGATAAAACTCATCAGAGTTCTAAAACTGGTACACTTAATAATAAAGGAACAAGTAAATTACCAGATGCAATTATTATAGGTGTGAAGAAAGGTGGAACCCGTGCTCTTTTGGAATTTATACGCTTGCATCCAGATGTAAGAGCATCAGGTCCAGAAACCCACTACTTCGATCGTTATTATGATAGGGGAGAGGAGTGGTATAGGTAAGTTGTATGTCATTAATGATAAATAACTGTCTCGCTAAAAGGGGTATACCACTGCATTGCAGACAACCATGCACCACCCCCACTTACCATCGCAAATCAGTGCTTGTAATTTTTATAAGTAAGCACTTATTTTTTTTATCTTTTATTTTTGAATGTACTAATAGCCACAGTTTTGAGATATTTTTATTTATTGTCGTCTGCAATAAACGGAAAATGGCAAGGACAGCCATTCGCTTATCACGTTGACTGCAGCATTAAATTGAGGTCAGCGTTCATTGATAAATTCAGTGATAAGATTGTGGCTGTTGTTGACACTTGTCATCATTGCATAAAGGCATGGAGACCTCAAATATATGATTTAATTCATTCATATTTAATGTTAGATAGAAAAAAGCTTTTAGTAACGTAAACATGCGCCCTTGAAATGCTGATTTGTGGCGATGTGCAGTGGTATACACCTTTTAGTGTGACCGTGTCACCGAAACCTTACCTTCACCTACACGATAGTTTGATCTTGTAATTAAGAAAGTACAGCCTGTAATGTTAAAAAATGAATCCTTTTCATGATTAGCAAATATATAGTAATGCATAAATTGATATATTCACAACATCAATAATATATGGAAACATGAAACACATATATTTTATCTGTATACTGTAGGCTCATGTGTCTACAAATGTCATTGTACAGTATGTATTTTCAGGTACTGTACCGTCCCTCTAGTACCCCGAACAAACCATGGCTTAGTAACAAGAATATTATACAAAATCATTGTCTATATTTTATTTATTTTATTTGTATAATATGCAAGATTTAATGTTAGTAACAACGCATTAAGAAATCAAATTTCTGATTAGAACAATACTGTACAAATAGAAATGTAGAAAATATCGATGATGGTACTAAAAAAATACATTATTTTATGATGCCAAATATATCTTTTTTTTTCTAATTTTGAGTTGTTTTTTCCAATCTAATTTTTTTTTCTGGAAAAAGATGGCCATCGCATACTTATTAGCACAATTACCACTGCACTTCATGAAAAGAACTGATTTATTTAAGACTGCTTTTTGTAACCGACATCCTACGGTATAAGGCAGTGTAATAATATATAATAGAGACAGTACAGTAGATAGGAGTATTTTTATAATCATTAGACTAGGCATCTGTTATAAACATTATAGTTAGGCACAATAAATATGTTATAAATAGTGCTATTGTTCCTTTGAAGAACAGATGACCAGTGATTATGTAATTGTTTTCAAGCACATAACACATGTCTCTTATGCTCTTTGTTGACATTATCTGATTACACATTCACTTCAACTGTCAAAAAAAAAGAAGAGAATACTGCAGTTCCCCAGATAATGGTCGAAGTGGAGTTCAGCCAGATTTGATTTTTAGCAATGTTAAGAAATTATTTAGCCTGGATTATAATAATATAATAGAAGCACAGAATCTGAAGTCTCGATGATAGAAAACTTGTATTGTTGTGTTAATATCATCTAGTTTCACACCATATGCTTGTCCTGTCTTCCTTTTCCCACCATATGCTATAATGTGTTACTATTAGTGTCTTCCTATTTTTTTGACATCACATCCCTGACTGTAGCTCCGTGTCCCATTCATTTCCTGTTGACTTGCCTTCCAACATACAAACAACAAGACGAGCATCTGTAGTTGAATAGCCCAATGCCTTTGTATTAGTTTCATACAAGAAGATTTCCAATCATAGTGTAGAGTATTTACCATTTACAGTATCTCATATATTATTACATCACTGTACCATATGGACAGGACATTCATTTTCTTTTAATTTCTTAAGGCCTGTCCAGACTATCAAATTTTATTTTTCAAACATGTGACATGCCTAAACATGGCATGATGACATCATATCATGACCATATATAGGCATATCATGACCATATATAGGCACATCATGACTATATATGGGCATATAGCAGTGTCAAAGTTAATCTGGACAGCTTTTATTTGTGTTTGCTAAGATTTTTACATAGAAATCATATCACTTGGAATGATGAAAAACTTGTATGCCCATATATAGTCATCTTGTGTCTATATATGGTCATGGGTAGTATGTCATCTTGACCATATTTAGGCATATCACTTTATTTTGCTATAATAAAATTTGACAGGGATTTTCTAGGATTATTTTTTTTAATACATAGAATTCATATCACTTGAATACATGCAAATGCATGTACTATAATAATACTATACACTGCACATTTCTATACGCATACTGCTGCCTTAGGGAAACTGGAATTCATGTATGTATTTATATTGTCAGTCAGTGTGTAGGCAACGAGGCAAATATTTTAATCTGTACAAGCGACCTCCTATACAGGTCATTGTTGTTATTATTATTTGCATTTATAATGCACCAACTTCAGTTCATTTCAATCCATAATTGTAAATATGCAATTTCTATTGGCATGTGTTTCTTACTCCCTATATAATTTAGTATGTTTTTTATGATGAATAATTTCAGAATGAATAATATAAGATCCAAGTACAGTAAATAAACAATAGTTTGTGTTGCTGTATTGAAGATAATAAATATATAAGGAAAAAATACAGCAAGGTACCTGTACTGTACCTGTATCCTACTGTATGCAGTTCATAAGGCAATCAGACAATCTAAACAAGTTTTATTTCAAGAAATGTAGATGATCCATATTATACAAGTAAATATAATCAACTAAATTTCAAATTGAATAATAATAAGTTTGGAATATATCATGGTTGTCCCTAGAGGGAGATTACATTGACCTTTAACCTCTGGTCATTGATTTGCAGTAGGATTAATTTCAACTATATATTGTAACAAATGCATATTTGCTCCAGATTAGTCAGTTCCTATTTATCAGATAAATCTGTGTTTATGCCGATTGAAATATAAAGTACAGTATGTGGGGGGGGAAGAAGTGTTGCTTCTTCAGACAGAAAATAATGATGCGGAAACATTGACTTAGACAGTAGAACACAATAATTTATTCAGGGAACGATTACAAAAGTTGGCAAATACTAGATCCAATATAATACAATAAACAGTCGGCAATAAATAAAGGAGGGTGATTAAATGAGATAAACAATAACACATGTGACTAATATGACTGTATATATATATATAGTCATATATATAAGCTCTGGTTCTATTTCTGGCTGTTTACTTACGTTTACTTTTTAGCTGTTGCTTATCATTTTTGTATAATTTAATATACCAGTAGTGGAACTTGAGTAACTGTCTCTTATACACATCTAGATGTGTATAAGAGACAGCATATTACATGCACAAATTAATAACATTTTTCAAATGTAACACTTGAATTAAATTTTCTTTTCTTTGTTTTTTCTGTTTTAGTTTGAGAATGAAACCATTTTTAATAGAAATACACTAGCTTCTATACAGAACTTTTTTTTATTGTCAACTACAGTAAAGACATGAGTTATTGTGACCTAGAATTGTTCTTACCTTTTGCATGTTGTTGGTGATTCCTAGTCAGATGTTTCGGTACAGTTTATCCGTAACTGTTTTATTATAATCTTCTCTATAGCTCTCTATCTTAGCAAGATGCAGTACTTGAAAATCCAGTGGCTTTTAGTATCTGCTTAAACTCACAGAATTATCCGTCACTCAAGAATTGGTCCAAGCTACACTGTCATTATTAATTAGGCCATAAAGAAGCAAAAGTGATGTCTCCTGTCTTGTCCCACTTACTCTTTTGGAGCCACTGCATTTTTTTTTGTACAAGCCAAACACGGAGCAGAATTTTAATCTTTCTCCTAATAAATAAGAATCTAGCCTAGCATAAGCCAATATGACTGAGTATGTTGTGCACAACTTCATGTAGGGGAATAAATACTTAGTTTTAACCTACCTACTTTAACTGTACTCTAAAAAATAGTACTTGGACACAAAATGTTTTTTTTTTAATTGGCCCAAAGCTCATTCTTATAATAGTTCTACAGTGGTTTTTAAAATACTACAGTATTCCATCTATCACTGAATTGTAGATAGATAATATAAATACAAGATATAAGATTACCTTATTATAATAAACTATACAGCAGCTGAAAAATGATAGTGGTTTATCTTACTGAATATTCAATAGTCAATCTCACTTCTTTTTTTTTTTATTGAAAGGGCATATTGAAAGATAAATTAAAATGTATTATTGTATATTTTCTTTTTTTTAATGCTGAAATATATTGTAAAAGTAATTATATAGCACTGTATACTGTAGATAGTTTAAATGTACTGTACAACCTGAATTATAATATGGTTAGTGTAGAGATTAGCTACAAACCACAGCTGCTATGCAAAATCACTACAGAGAGAAGATGAAGTGAAGCAGATTATAAATGCGGTGACATCACAGAGTGTGTGGTGTATCGTGATGTACTCGAGTTTGCCGGGGAAAATAAGATTTTGATCGCAATGCAATGCTATGCCCTATTTATTTGTATGTATGAACCATGCGTAAAGCAACGTGTGAAACCACCAGCATAAATTACACATATAATATTTCCTTTTAATTCGTATCATTTCTCTCTTGAAATTTGTCCATATAGTGATAGCATTCATTAGATTTATTTGGCTTCGATTTACATAATTTTGGTATTTATTTTGTGCTTTATTATAAATTAATGAATATTTAGATCTGTACAGTATTTAAATAAAAGCCGCAATATTTAATATATTTACTTAAAAATTAAAAATCGAATATGTACAGTTGCCATAACAAAAGAAATTATTGAAAAAATGCGTTATATGCTACAGTCAGGTATATTGCAGGATGGGACAAATAACGCACTTATTGATGAAAAACGTGGTAAAATGTATACTGTACAGGACGTGAATATACAGTAGATTATTTTGTTAAATGAATGATGCTTAAGAAATGCACAGTGAATCATCAATTATATTCAAGATGTTGAAAAGTGACTAACAGAACGTTGGATTGTAGATTAG